TATGGAATGAACTTCTCACACCACTTATGATTACCACCTTCAAGGTCCTTTGGATATTTTGTTGCCGATACACAAGTACTGGGAAGAATTGTGAGAATTAAGACAAATCTTCTATCTTCTTCCATACATCTTACTGCACATCTTTAAGAGAAAAGCAGAAAAAAACTTCGTTGTAAAGGATAGAGTCTGTAGTTTAACTTGATCATAAATTTACACGCTCCAGTGTATTTACAGCTTTTTATATACACACATCCCTGGTATTTGGTGACCACTTTGTTTCATTTAGCGTAGGTAGTACTATTAAGGCCGTGCTCAAATACAATGACCAATGATAACAAATTTTATTAACAACAACAATTACTTCTTTTTGCCACCTTTGCCTTTAGAGGTGACAACGGGTTCTTCTACGACAAGAGTATCATGACACCGCCCGCAGTAATATCTGTTTTCGTGGGCAGCCATGAAAACGCCTCCTCCGCAGGTTGGGGACTGGCACTCCTTACGGAGACGTCTGATTTTACCGTTCTCATCAACCTGAAAAAGATGCACGTGTAATGAAACATGTAGTAAGATCCACTTATGAACATTTACGAGAAAGGCTAGCTCAGATAATTGAAAAACAGTCACGGAACTCTCAGAGGCCTGGACACCAATTAACACATGATCTTCATCGCTAGGAAGTAAATCAAATCAGGCCGCACACAAACCTCGTAATATTTCAGGACAGCGAGCTTGACCTTCTTTCTCTTATGCTTGATCTTTTTGGGAGTAGTGTAAACCTTCTTCTTTCTCTTCTTGGCACCTCCCAGCAGTCTGAAGACAGAAGTTCATTTGAATTCAGATTTGTGGTAATATATCTTCTCCAATTGCTCTAGCTCAGAGAACTCAGCCTCGTCATGATACTCTCAGAGGCCTGGACACCTTAGAATTACAAGAGTAATCATCATTGCTAGAGAAGATACTTCCCACGTATCACTGATAATGAAGTGTGTGCTTTTTTGTATCTGATGAACACCGAGAAATGGTCAGTTCTAGCTTATACGTAGTGAAAGCGGGATTTATGCTCACCTGAGCGACAGATGAAGAGTCGAATATGGCTCAACTTCATCGTCATCCTCCAACTGACGACCTATAACGTTAGTAAATCACGCAATGACAAAAGCTGGGTCCGTCCTCAAGAACCATTTCTGGCCCTCTCGGGATTCAGCAAAGCAACAACAAAATAAACAAGCTGGGAAGATATATGACAACTAAATCAGGCTGCTGAACAACTCACCGGCATAAAGCAGTCTCTGGTCTTCTACATTAACTCCTTCAATTGCTTCAATTCGAGACTTGATGTCAACGACATTGTCCTCCTCAAGGGTCAAAGTCTGACCAGAGAGGGTTTTAACAAAGATCATTTTGACCCTTCTACCCTAGCCTGAAAGTAAATGAAGCAATGTGAGTAATGAGTAAGCTCTGCACATACACGACGTTACTCGTTATAGAAGGAATGAATTAACGACAGAAACAAAATCAACGCGAAAGAAAACTGAGCCAATGAGAAAGTCTAGCGCATGATGTGTAGCGAAGTTTAGGCCATCTCCGCAAAGCGCTTTCGTTGAGTACGGTATCCCTGAAAAGCAGGGGTTAATGATCGCGCACATATTTCGATTGGAGCGGAGAAAACTATTGCCGTTGATTTTGGTATTGAATTAACCTGCATTGGAGAACATGTAAACAAGAGAAATAGTAGTGCATTCAAAATTTGAATCAGCATGCCAATAATGTTTGTATGGATACGTTTTCAGTTGCAATGCGTTGATCTTCAGCGTTTTCTTCTAAAATCAAGGAAATGTGCTGATG